GCTTAGTTTCATGCTGCTGAAAGTGCCAGAAATCACTTAAATGAATAAATATCAATAAAAGATCGGTTCAGGGAGTAATTAAGAAGAAAAGATCTCAGAGTCAAAGGGGATAAATCTAAACCATACTAAGGACAGAAACAAGCACTATAATACTGTGGGACTTTATTCATGGAAAATATGAGTAGATACAACTAATCCTGTTTTTAATCTTGGATTTTGAAATTCTGGGAAGTGTATCAAATTATCAGCCTGTAAAGTCAGAAAATGGTTTTCCTGTTACATAAGAGAAATATAACATATGAAAAATAATATGCTCCCTGCAAAATAATGTATTATATAAAATAATATTTTAAAAAATCAAATATAAGTGGTGGTACAGTGGTTATAATGGTTAAAATGCAGTGTTGCAGGGTAATTCTGCTGACTGCCAGCAGTTTGATCCTGACTAGCTCAAGACTGACTTGGCCTTCCATCCTTCCAAGGTTAGTGAAATGAGGACCCAGATTGTTGGGGGCAATATGCTAACTCTGTAAACGGCTTAAAGAGGGCTGCAAAGCACTGTGAAGCTGTATATAAGTCTAAGTGATATTGCTATAATTGTTCAATGTATTCTTCTGTTTTAAATACAAATGAAATGAGTCTTCTTAATGTAATTACTTTTCTAAAGAAGTGTTCAAATGCAATGTAGGCCAGTGATCAAAGCAAAATTACAAAACAGTAAACAGTAACAAACAAACAGTAAACATCTATAACGGTAATAATAGTAATATCTATTCCTGCCACACTGTGAATGAGAAGATCTGGGTGTTGATTCCTATTCTTTCATTTACTTTATTGGGTAGTTTAATTCACAAGCTGGAGTTCTTAAGATTCAGTGGGAGAAGGGGACAATACCATATAGGCCACTGTGAGCCATTAGAGGGACTGTGAAAAAGAAATATAATAAAAGAAATTAAAACTAAATCCTTGATTTAGTTTTACGTTTGTGCTTTAATGCCTGGGTCAAGGGTTATGCTAGTCTTCTGAATAGTATATAAGGGGCTGAACTTCAAAACTGAATGAAGCCTGAGAAATACCTTAAGCCCTAAAATAATTAATTTGTCCACAACCCTTGATATTCCATGAAGTTAATTTTGCATGGGGCCTGAAAGAGAGTTTAAGCTATGGTTTTAATGCTGCAGGAATAGAAAACTATTCATTTTATGGAATGATGCTACAAATAATTCTGGCACTGCTATAGATACTGCAATATAATGTAGAGAAATAACATCTCTTCTTAGGGGGAAAATTGACATGGATGAGGTTAAGTATGACATTTAGCTATGGGGGGACTAAGATAGAGTAAGTGAGATAAATAATTCTATTTGGTAAAAAGAGGGCAAATGCCGTATTTGAACCATTTTGAAGAAGGAAGTTGTGGTACAGACAGGTATTGACAGTTACAAGATGAAAGACAGGGTTTGTTGAGTCTCTGAACATATCGCACGCATCACAAGTAAAGTGATCGCTGAATTCCCTATAATGGTCTTAAATTAGATATTCTACAAAAATAGGCCTTGGTTTCTGTGGTGGACATTCTGACCCTGTGACATCATTAAATGTTTGATATTAGGACAATTTCTTTTCTAAAAGCAGAGAAGGGTAGAAACAGTTGCTCATATCTGCTTCTACCCTGAACAGTATTTATAAACTCCAATCATTTTTTAAAAAAAGGCTTAACTGATGTTCTTTGTCCCTGAATGTTCATTTTTGAAAAGAAAATGGATGTCAAAGAATGAAATGCATGTGTTTACTTCATTGGATCAGACCAAATTTAATCATATTTAGAACAGGTTTACTGAAATCATTTTGTCCTATTAACTTTAATGGATTTAATGAAGGTAACACTAAGTTTGGGTACAATCCAGTATTTTTTTTTTAAATAATTATCCTGCAACACTTTCAAGCTCATTTGGATTAAGTAGATTAATTTATACATGTTATGCTTTTTTTAAAAAAAACCCAATAAACCATTATTTTTCTGTGCTTACCCACATCATATGGCTGCTGCATATTTATTGTGAACATACAAAAGTTTATTCCGACAAACCAGAGACAATGAAATAAAGCATAGGATTATTCAAAGCTCTTATTTGAAAAATATGTTTGCATGAGTATTTCTTTATTATATTTATCATTTTTAGAAATTGTAGATTACAGTAAACCAAGGGTTTAGCAGATTTCGATTTAAGGCAGAGGTGTCAAACTCGCGGCCTGCAGGCTGGATTTATCATGCACTGGCCACACCCACGCCCAGTTTAGCAAAGGGGAAAAGTCATGATACGTCACATGATAATGAGAGTTTGACACCCCGACTTAAGGCCATAAAATCTACTGGATCCAAGTTTGTCCAAATTTGTTACATGGATGGATGCTGTTCACTGTTCAGTTCAGATAATTTTTGCTGATGTTCTGTAAAATGTGCATTCATTGTTTTAGCAAAGTAGTTTTACTTATACAGATAGTCCTTAACTTATGACCACAATTCAGCTCAAAATTTCTATTGCTGAGAAAATTGTTAAGTGAGTTTTGCCTCACTTTATGACTTTTCTTGCCATAATTAAGTGAATCACTGCAGTTGTTCAATTGGTAACATGATTGTTAAGTGAATCTGGCTTTCCCATTGAATTTGCTGGTCAGGAGATCCTGGTGGTTACATGACCCCAGGATACTGCAACTGTCATAAATATGAGTCAGTTGCCAAGCATATGAATTTTGATATTGTGACCATGTATATATATATATATATACACACACACACATACATACATACTAATCGGTTCTGTGGGTGTGGCCTAATTTGTGGGTGTGGCTTGATGGTCATGTGACTGGCTGGGCATGGCTTGTATGTAAATATATATATTGGGCTGTAAAAAATATCACTTTTAATGCTAGTCATTTCAATAGAAGATTTATTACAATTCTTTTAAGAAATTAACATGAAAAGTATTCTAAATGAAATATTTAATTTAAAGGTAAGATATAAAGGTAAGATAGAAAATATTCCACTTTGTGTGTGTTTAATGTTTCTCTATGTATTATATATGTACATGTATGTGTATATATATGCATACATATACATATACATATACATATACATATACATATATATATATATATGTGTGTGTGTGTGTGTGTGTGTGTGCGCGCG